TAAGACGGATTCGACGCTCGTTACCAAAACTGTTACGTTTTGACGCGACGTCGAAGTACTTTTCCATCCCTAATCCCTCGAGAGATCCGCCTCGAAGTACTTCTTGATTTCGAACGCTGAAACGAAATACTTGTCGATGAGAATTCTTTATTTATTCCTTCCGGTTTAGTCTCCAAGGCCCACGAAAAACATGAAAAGCGGAGGCACACTGAGAACCTTGCCCTAGGGATAAACGAATAACATAATACGCACAATATACGAGGGATTTGCAATACTCGGGATAATCCCTGCAAAGTAATGAAGTATCGTGGAAAATCTTTTGCATTCCGAGTTCCGTTTCGGTGCATTCTAGCTAACGAAATTTTGCATTGCTTTACAATGTACTTCGTTTCATGTTTTTTCCCCCCTAGTATTCGCTGATGCATACAACGTTCATTTTGGACAAATGATGGAATATTTCAATTTCTCTACTAGCTAGTGTATTGTCACGATTCTCCTATACAAACAAAAATAAAAACGTATACAAGAACTCTTTGTCTAGTTCGTTTTTATAAAGAACGCGTACAACGAGTTCTTTTTTTTTTTTAATCCCGACTTCGGCGAGTACACGATCGCTACCGCAAACGTCGATACACCCTTAAAAGTCAATCGTGTTTATTGGAGAAGTCGATGTCGCGGGCGTGAATGAGAGTGAACGTACGGACGAGGGTGTTGGGGTGGGGGGCAAATAAGTCGAGCCAAGGGGATGGTATCGTGGCTATTTCGGTATCGCATCGTGATCGTAGCCGCGTAACGGGTTAAGGGCCGAATGGCACGGGATCGTTTCATCGAAGAGTAGTAGCGGTCACGGTTCCAGAACGGTAGTTTCGTCGAATGGATTCGCGTGAATACAAATCTGCGGTTATCGAATATTATTCCCCGTCGGTGGTCCGCGCGTTCGTGTGCTCCCGTTCGCGGATGGAAAAGCGCAAAAATAATATAAAATAACAGTCGCGGAATACCGTACCGAAGACCGTAAATGCGTTTTAACGCGCTCGATCGTACGTCAAAAGCCTCGCGACGGACGGGATCCGGGAAAACATTCCAGTCGGGTAGCGCTCGCGACGATACATGTTATCGTGGCCGGGTGAATGCAAAAGTATGCGTCGAATCGACTTTAACTTCTAATTAGTCGATTGTTTGAACGTTCGTCACGAACAGCGAGCGACCTGAATCACGGAAACCAAAAAAAAAAAAAAAAAACGCTCGCACCAGGACGGGGAGCTCAATATCCTGCGAATACAAACATTTGTACGCGTCGCTGGCAGAGATTTGCCTACGCCCGATTCGATATACGCGTACACCCTCGTCCATAAGTATTAGGGTGTCGGGTATTTTCAAGGGATGTAGATGCAGATTCTTTTATGGTCGGAGAACAGGCGAGGATTCGGGGCCTTTGGGACTGTGCGGCGCAAGGAGAGGCTCTCGGGTCACCGTTGATCAATGCTAAAATTTGTTAGCGATGAGCGTAATTTCTAGACTGCGGATCTTTATGCAGTTATAGGAAATTTGAATGTGCAAGAAACTATGAAATGCAAACAATATGCAAGAATATAAAAAAAATTGAAAGTAAAGTTCGTGTTATAATATTTGCAGAATAAAATAATTTTCTATTTAGGTTCAATCTTTGTAGGCACTTTCGCGAAGATTTTATTTTGCATAAAGATCCGCAGTCTAGTTATTTTATCGAAAAGGTGTCTTCGTTATAGCGTATAATATTTGTTCAGGTCCTTGAGCTGTGTAGAATCCTTTCTCCGGCTTCTGTTGCACTCGTGAACGTACCAACGTGACTCGTACGTCTTCCTTATGGCGTTGAGTGCGTCGGAGTAGGACTTGGCCAGCGCGTCTGACCATGGCTCGCTGTTTCTACTTGCGCGGAGATTTAGAAAGACGTAATGCTGAACTTGTAGTTAAGATAAGATAGCAAAAGATAGCGAAGTCGACAGATAGGGAACTAAGGCATCATTGATGTTTGGAAAGGTTCTCGCAAGTAGAATAGACGAACAATGGTCAGACAGGGGCTTCATAACCCTTTATTTACTGAATTCTTCAAAAGTTTTTAAAATCTAGGCGTCCATCTTGGTCCTGTCGCATCTTTTATCGTTGTCTTCAATAGACTTCAACAGAAATAAAATAAATCCAGCACCAACTGGACCCAAGAGCACAACTCTTTGCAACTGTTCAAGAATAGAGCTTAAACGTGGACACCAAGTACTTGCCTCGGGGAAATGTAAAAATGGAGAGGTCTGGTTTTCCCATACTCTTTCTTGGTCAATAGAGGGTTCGTTAGAGAAAGAATCCCCACTAGTGGTACCTGTATTAATAATCAGTTATCAGGCGTCGTTTGTCATTCAATAAATAAACTGGCGATAAGCGAAAGCCTCTAGACCGTTTTACGAGAGAGCGTTACATGGTTACCGTGGCTCAATGCTCATCATATGGCATGTCTCTAACAAGCTTCCAAAAATAATGTAATAATGTAATATGTAAATAATGTTGCTGCAGATTTCCTTCGTTTTCGCGTAAGTGCCCTCGGTACTTCTGAACGAGGTTATACCTGGACATCCGTTGAGAACAAATCGCTTTAGCGGGGTTACCGCTCACGAATCGGGCTAGTGTTTCGAGGCTCGGTTTGGCCCGCTGTGTTTGCCAGCATTTTTCCCTCCCGTCGATGGTAAACGGTCGAAAGTTTGGGACCGACAGCCTCGGGTAGCAACGAGCCGGCTCGACGTTGTCTTATTTCGTGTTTGTTTGACCGCGTTGGCTCCGGGCGACTAGCGAGATCGGAACTTCCACCGCGAATTTATTATTCAGAGATATCCAAGCGCGAAGCGGGCTTTTCACGCCTGAAGACCGTTGGCTGATGTCGAGTTGTTTTTAAAATGTGTCGATTGGCGCCATTATTGGCGTACTGACGAAAGCATCGAGGAAATAATCATCTATTCCTGTGTTCCACGAGTGAAAGAGTTAATTCATGATCGAAACGAGCATAGCTGAAAGTTATCGGTGCCTATGGAAACGCAAACTGACGCCACTGGTATTGACGCCATTCAATCGGCGTACTCCTGACGCCAATGATCTTTGCGCGTGAGAGCCCTGCATAACGCTATGCTTGCCTTTTGTTCGCGGCAAGCCTCGTTCGGTCGTAATCGACAGGATTACGGATTCCCCGGTATAAATCGAGCCAATATTTTCGCGATGTTGCCCAACGGCGTAACGTTGGTTATTAATTCTATCGCTGTACCGCTGTTTTAACTGTTTTCGGTGGGTTTTTGTCGGCGGACTTTGCATCGCGCCGCGCCCCGAGGTAAATAAACTTTTGAAATTTTCTCGAGGGTTTTTGCCGTTGTTGCAGCGCAAAAAGCGTAAACCGCCGGCCGCCGCTGTCGAAGTTCCACGGGAACTTTGCTCGAGCGGTTCCCTATTTTATTTTTTTTTTATTTTACCCCAACGAGTTACGCTTTCCCGTGCATCCAAGAATCCGATTATTCTTCGCGAGAAAAAGCGGTACTAATGTCGAGCAGTCGTCCTCGACGCCATGATACCCACCAAACGAAAGAAAATTGCTTCGCAACTAGAAGTGCGTACGAATTGGTTTGTTTTCTTTCGAATCGACAGGTCGAGAGTATGTACATTCTCGTGGAAAGTTCTTCGCGAGTAAATTTTTCTTTCCGCGTTTGAAGTAACAGCTCGTGGTTGGGGAGTTCGGTAGGTCTCGCGCTTCGCCGGTGATCCGCTAGTTATTTAGCCGCGGGTTGCCAAAGGCGAACAGTTTCCGTATCAGATCATCCGAGTCTTCGAGTGTCCTTGGTTACGGGTATCTCTGACCTTCCACTTGGCTCCGTTTCAATACAACTAACCCCGACTTTTGAAAACAGAATTTGACGTGTCGCGAGAGGTCTGAAAACCAGCTTTCGGGTGCATCGGGCGAATGTCGAACGTGGATAGGCTAATTTGCTTAGCATAGAAGATTCTTGATGGTTAAAAACATAGAAGTCTTTGATCTTTGGTTGAACGGTGATAATTTGGGAATTTTTTCTGACGATTCTGGAAGGCTGAAATAAATGTATCGTACACGTATCGAAAGTACATACTTTTGGTAATATTCGCGCTGAGTTTCGTAAAAATATATTGTTTACATAGAAAGTGCAGGGTGTCCTCGTAGCACCCTATTTTATTTGTAATTGTTACAAACAGATCAGCTTTAGCTTGCGGAATTTATATTTTCTACAAAGATGGACGCTTCGTAATGAAAATTGGCAGAAACATTCCCCAAAGTATGCACCCTTAACTCATCCTCGAACCTCTTACATCGGCTACTCGTTGCCTTCGGAAAAATTCCCAAGTATCGAAACTTTCCGCCCCAGAAGTTCGCCGTTCGCCCTGAGGCGTCTTCTACCAAACGTCTAAGAAGAAGCGACGACACTCGTCCGCCACACGAGTTAATCATTCGAGGCTGAATGCCGTTCAATTTCATCTCGTTAACCGTCACAGGGGGGGGGGGGGAGAAGCTTAATGAATTGTGTTCCCGTCGCGAACTTCCGAGAAGCTTTCCCGTGTCCGACGAGTCCTCGCCAGACAGACGAAAGTTTCGGTTTATTTCCACCTGGTGAATGAATACGATGGCCTTTTGGACGGAAAACTGTTGAGAAAGTTGGTCTCGAGGAAGGGAATCGAAGGGACTCGGGAGACCGAGATTCGAGGGGTTTGGGAATTTAAAGGGTGAAACAGGGAGCGAGGGGCGGAGCCCGGCAAAAAGACGCGAGACAGTGACATCTGTCACAAGGATCCGCGCGACCCATTTACTTTCACGGGATTACCGAAATCTCGAATTCCCTTATCGGACCGTGAACCCGTGAACTCGTTTACACCCCGCGTGCCGGGCTAATTAACGTTCCGCCGCCCGGCTCCTCTCTCTCCCTTTCGCCCTTCTTTCCCAGTGGAACATTTAAATCCCTTACCTTGTAATTTCCCAGGTTCCGGATCGTGCACGGTAGAACGGCTTCTTTGCCGATGGCTGCGGTCACATTACCGATCGGCTTCGTGAAGCTGGGCAGATCTGCAAAAAGGGGTGGTTTCGGTGAGTGTGCTTGTTCGCTGAATGGATGGGTACACAGCTCTGAGTCGCGTCAGGGGAAAGGAGGCGCAACGTATTCGGTAAGTGAATTTCACGACGGTTAATCGAGGGGAACGTTTAACGATAAATATGGAAATTAACGGACGGGGGTGTACCGAGGCTAAGGGACCTATTATTCGTGGTACGTTTGGTCTCTTTGCTACTGCAGCGCGACAAAGTTCATCTACTACAGGCTTGGCCAACTCAAATAGTTTCACGGGCCACTTCGATGACGCGTGACGACACAGCGGGTCGCACTATAGGTACACATATAAGTTAAAAAATAACATTAATATTAGGTTAAAAAATATGATACATATACAAAATACCGGTCGACGTCATTGTTCCACTCTCCTCTATTACTAAGAGCAAAAATGTGTGTATCGTTTCTATAGGCCGAACGCACACGGGCGCAACCGATTTGAAATTAGTGTTGCAAACCGTTTGCGCTCTTTGTTTTACCTACAGAAGAATTGGAAATTCTATATATAATTCTAATATTTCTAATTCTTTTATTTGAAATGTGTGGATCGTTTCTTTATATATTTATTACATAACTGTATTCGAATTAGAAATGAACGTTACTGATGGTTGCCTATTGAAATCGATTCATCCAGTAACATTTGGGGTTCTAAATAAACAGCGGCTTTCACTGCAACCTCCTAATATGTACAGGGTAGCCTAGTTGACTCTTTATAACTCCTTGTCTTGGAAATTATTTGATCGATTTTAGTGATTGAGATGTTCCATTGTATGGATCTGAAGGGCTTGCATACTGAAAGGGAGATTAGTGCACGATCCTCTGTTGCTTGAGACTCTAAAGGATTAGGTTTTTATAACAGGCAACATCGTTACTTCTGCTATTATTGCCTAACGTTGCACCGTACACCTTTGTTTCTGTTTACGAAGCTCGCGTTACTTGAACATATGAACAAGAAACGACCCGTACCCCTAACTAGTACTGTATACCTAATTTACTAAGGAGCCAATCAACTAACCGCCCCCAGTCCACAATTACATTTCAATCAGCGTTCCGTAAATGCAGCGATCGAACGGGCTCGTCGAAACCGAGAAAAAGTCCATGCTTTGCCCCGAGGCTCTCCGCTAGATTGCAGATTCCCTTAACAGGGTCGCCATGAGCTAGCTCGGTTCTGGTACATTGTCGGTCTGAAAAGAACAGATTTAACCCTTTGCATTCGAGAGGCGACTCTCAGTCACCACCAGGTTTTCTTTAGGTTCGATTTCTTTGAAACTCCAAGTGCCAATAAAATTATTATCGTTGAGGCAAAGGTGACCTGATTCTCAAATCACAAATTAGAGATCTCATTTTCGAAGGCAATATAACCTTAGCATTCGTGGCAATAGAATGCTAAGAAAGCACCTCGAGTTGCTGGTAGATATCAGAAAAAAATGCCTCGAGTGCAAAGGGTTAATCTCGAAGATGTATTCGCGGCGATCCTCCCGAGCAGTTCAAGACAAACGACCCTGCCGTTACTATGAGTTCTAAGATCGCTTCGCGGTTGCATTTGCCTCGCGACGTCTACGCTCGGTTCTTCCGTGGAAAGTTTGCGTACCGCCGGGCGTGCGCGCGATTAGGTTCTCTTAGAATTTAAATGGAACGTTATTTACCATCCGGCCGCGCAGATTTATGAACGGCGCACAGGCGAATCGAGGCAGGTGCAACGGCGCGGTACGCGCGTAAATTCTGCGTGCTCCCCTGAAAAATATTTCACATCGCTTACAACGGGTGCGGATTCGATAGCCGTGATTCGTTGCCCTCGTTAAAGCGTACGTGACGGCGCAATGACACCGATTAACAGCTTGTTGGCGTATGTAATATCGAACGATCGCGAGTGAAGCATAGTTTCAATTTCCTGTCAACGGATGCACTGTCACTTGGCTAATGGCCAAAGATGACGTGCCAGTGATACGTTAAGCTGATGGATGGAGAAAGGAGGAAGGATTTTTCACCGAGGAAAAGAACACGAGTGGAAGGATTTTTTGTTTCGCGCTACCAACCTTTCCAGGACGGCACCGGCGCTTATACAGAGTGGGAGGGGAAAAGCATGGAAACCCTTAGAAATCACGCGAGTCTAGCGATAAAACGAAGAAACAAAGGTTGCACTTTAAGTCGTTTTCAACGAGAAATTCGATGGTGACTTTGGATTTGACCTCGAACCTCATTTTCAAGGTCAACTTGTTTTCCTTTAACGGGAACCTCTATTTTTGATGCCGGAATCGAAAAGAGCGGAAAATTTTACGTTAGGATATCTACTCAAATCTAGAGTTAACGTAACCCCTAACAATCTTATAATCCAGGAAAACCCAGACCCCAAAAATAGGGGTTCCCATTGAAAGAAAACAAGTTGACCTTGGAATGACCTCGAAAATGAGGTCCAAGGTCAAATCCAAGATCACTGTTAGATTCCTCGTTGAAAGTTATCTAAGGTGTGACCTTTATTTTGTTCTTCTATCGCAAGACTCGCGAGATTTCTACGAATTTCCATACTTTTTCCCCACACTGTTTATAGACGACTTGGACTTACACATCCTTGGACTCGCGGTATATTTTGTTTGCGCTCTTGATCCATTAGGAGTGTCGAACGTTTCGATATCGAATGATCGTACGACTCTTTTATCCCGTCGCGAATAAGGTGCAAGGGTTAAAGATATTTCGTGTAATGGATATATTGCGGGGAAAATGACCCAAACTATTCCCCATTTGGATCCAAAGGCCGATTACCGCGGAGGGATGGGGAGATTTTATTAAAAATACCTCCTGGAACAATATCGGCTTCAGCGATGCAAAAGGACTCCGTCGGACGCGGAGGCGTCGCACGCGAACTAACCCAATGTAATAAAATAACGAAAAGTTTGCCCGAGAAAATCGCGCGAATTCCGAAGTGTCCCCGTAGTTCCGTGCGTAGCTCTCGCGGAGAACTTTCCTGCGAAACGAGCCGAAAAAGTTAGAATATTCCGTGAAGCGGAAAGGGGGTCGAAGAAATGGTAATCTTTGATGGGAGGTGGGTGGGAGGAGGGAGGATCGGTCGGATGCAGCAAACTGTTCGACGAAAATTAAGTCTATAAATATACGTTATAGAAACGTGGACGCGCAAGTATATCGTACAAAACGCGTCGTGATCTTCGTGGTAGTTCCCAAATGAAATGTTCAATTTGTGGTAGCTAAACTATAACGTAATAAAATGTAATTGGTCATAATTCTGATTTGAAGATTACGATGCAAATATACAGGATGTCCCAGAGTTAGTGTGAGAACCGGTAATGGGGTGTAGCTGAGACGATTATGATGTACAATTTCTTTTGCACAAATGTCGGATGGTGCATCGTTTTTGAGTTATTAACGAAAAACTACCGACCAATCAGAGCACCGGAGTAGCACGCGCTCAGTCACGAAAGCATAGGCTCGAGTCACGATTGGCTAGCTATTGACGCTTGTTTTTCGTTAATAATTCGAAAACGAAGCACCATGCGACATTTGTGCAAAGGAAATTGTGTTTCAGAATCGTCTCAGCTATTTCCGGTTGTCACTCTAATTCTGAGACATCCTGCATACATAATGTCGTATTGGAGTCTAGTATAAGTACTTGTACAGTAAGTTACACATCAACACTCCTACCAATTTAATTATACTATTATATTTGCGTACCACAAAGTTCAATGCAGAATTTAAAGTCATTCGGACGAAAAGGGTTTGCACGAGATATAATTTTATTAACGTTCGATGAATGGAAACTAATTTGCTCGCAAGACCGAAACCAGTTCCATTTTTAAGTTCCGATCTTATTTTGCCGAGAGAACAAAGGGGTGCGAAGAAAAGGTAATTTTCTATAGGTGGTCCTGAGGCGGAAAGGGGTGGATGATCGGTTGGATAGAGCGAACTGCTCGACGAGAATGAAGTCGATGGCATCGGAGAACGGGCCACATGGCGCGATATCGGCCACCTAACGAGTGAAAGTTTCGCAATGGAGCGTCGGCGCGAAGCAGCGGGCATCGGGACGCGACCGGAAGTTGATGCAACTTTGCGCCCGAGCGAGCCGTCCCGGTGCATCGTGTGCATCGAACGGAAAAACGCGGGACTGCAGCTGTGTCGTCGACGGGGGCGGCGCGTTATACCTTCCTGAAATTCAAGACAAAATGGTATCCGAAGGGAAAAACGGATCGAGAAACATTCTTTAGTTGGAATCGAATAGTAGAATCCTTGTCGGCATCCGAAATAGGAAACTTTGCATTCGATCTCATTTTATGACGAAAGAAAAATATCCCGACAAGAGGTCTCTGTCTTGGCTTTCTATTCGACAGCCGATTAGCTCCGTTTAGTAAATGAATTCAGTTTACTTTGGACCTGCTCGTCCCTCCGCTTGATTTTCGCGCGAGCAACGGCAACGAGTTTTCGAAGCATTGATTTCGAGAGCCCTTTGACGGAGGTCCCAGGCAGACATCCCTTTTGTCTCGACGATAATGCGTTCTCTGGTCGAGGACGATATTCCAAGACAGCGGCTGGTAACTGCTTATGGTGGTGGCTCGAAAGCGCGCCGGTAGAGTTACCGGGGGATTTGTTATTCGAGGAGAAAGGGTTGAGGATGAGGGAAATCAGGAAAACTGTGGACAAGGGGCGAGGCTTGGGGCACGGACAGACCCGAGGGAACGGCACCGCCGCTATTATGATAAGATATTCACCGACAGGAACAGGAGAGGGAAGGAATTTTCAGCTCGCAGCGTCCTCGTCGTATCTAGAATGTAATATAAGGAAACGCGAAGGAAAATAGTGGAGGCACCGAGCCTGAGTGCCCATGTGAATGGCGGTGTAGTGGAGAGGAAAAGGGAGAAAAGAGGAACCAGAGTAACCGGGAAAACTGGCGGAGACTAGAGGAAACGGAACGGAGCGGCGGGGAGAAGGAACGCCACGATCGTTTCGTTTCCTC